AACGTGTTTATTTATCATAGTGATTTAGTCCCTCTGATAAGAAAGAAAAGAGGTAGAGTTTTTAGGGGAAGAAAATCCCTATGTTTAGAGCTGGGCATATGCTTGTTGTGAGGGAATAGACTGATTTGAGGATTTTAAGTAGGCTTCTTGCTGTTCTGGGTGGTTTTTTTTCTTTTTTCTTTTTTTCCCTCTCCTTCCCAAAAGGAGTTTTCCAGAGATACATAAAGGCTTACCCTTGAAGAACTGGCTTTAACAAGAAACCACAGCTCCGGATCCAAGCTACCACAGTTACTCCTCCCTATGCACAGAAAAGCGTGAAGCTCTGACTTTATTATATGGAAAGCCATGACACTCGGGGGCTGCTTTCTGCCAAACACCCATGTGTGCAGACCCTGAATGTGTCCTCAGCAGTTGTGCCCAGGTTGGAAGAGCTGGACTACCTGCCAGTTGGTTGTTCAGCTGTGAATCATCCTTATGGCATTCACTGACCGTTTCTGTGGTTTTGGCTTCTTCTGCAAAACTTCCACTGACCAGTCTAGTACTAATTCATTTAGTCTAAATCTGTAAACACTTGATTGATAATCATAAAAGGGCAGTATAAAAGCCTGTGTGCTGTATGGATTAAAAGAGCAGACATGTTTATAGCCTGATAACAACAGAGTACTCTGGCAAAGATCAGGAGTCTCAGATTTCCATCTCCAGATGATTTTATTTTTGGAGTCCAGTTGGTGGTTTTAATTTTTGGCTATTGCAAAACCATTGTAGGTCTTAGCTGTTGCAACACAGGAGGAGGAGGAGGAGGAAGACGACGTTGCTTGGAACGGATGCTCTCCGCTCTTATTTAGGAGGCTTTTGCAGTAGTTGCTGGTCTCTGAGTACCGCTGGAGGAACAATGCTCCCTCCTCGCTGCCTGGTGAGGGGGACAGGGTGCAACTGTGTCACTTAAGAGTGCCAGCTGTGAGGGGCATGGACAAGCTCTGATGACCTTTCTGCCCAGCCCCAGGAAGGGAATCGCTGAGGTGAGGAGCAGGAGGATTGTAAAGTGGAGCCCTATGGAGAGGAGGAGGGGTATCCTCAAGACTTTAACCAGGAAACGGACTCGAAGCAAAAATAAACGGAGAGGCAAGCAAACTCTTATTTCGGCCAGCAATCTATCGTGCGCTCTGCTCTGGGGAGGGCTTGCAAGTTGTTGCTAAACCAAAGCACTAATTCTGCTTTTTGGAGGGAGAAACTTCACCTGGCACATCAGCCTTATCCTCTTCTCTGCTCTCCATCTCTCCTGCCTGGGCTGAAGGTGCTTTTAAAACAGTGGGGCTGTACTATCAGAGGGACATTGCAGTGTGCATGTGAGCTTGCTGGGGAACTTGTGCTACTCTACATCACTCTTCTCTGGTGTGCTCCGCACTTGGCAGGCTCTTACTCTTCAGTGAGATGCTGTGGCCCGTGTCAGAAATTAGACTTGAACTAACTGGCAGGGATGTGGAAGCACCCACAGTTGTGTGTGTAATTGGTGCTGTGCTCTCTGTGGTGTTGCCTATCTTGTTCATTTGAATCCCCTTTGTGGGGAAAACCTGCAGTCTGACACTACACACCAGCAGTGTTGTGGGCATCCTGAGTGTTATTGAAGAGTAATTAATCTAAAGATGCTTGTGGGCATGGAAGGTTAAATAGCACCAAAGGTTTTTGGTTTGTGGGGTTTTTTGTTTGGTTTTAACCTTATTGATTGTGCCTGAAGAGGACATAGTAACAACTTAAACCAGGCTACCCAGAAAGTGCTTCAAAGCTTTTGATTACTGGAAGGAGTTGTTTTTCTGTTTTCTTTCCCTCTCTCCTTCCTTATTTCTTTCCTCCTTTCCTGTTACTGAAGTCTTCTCCACAGGGCAGCATCCTGGACTAGCATCACTCCAGGAGCCACAGGGACCCCACCCTCCAAAAAGGGGTATCCTCCAGGCATAATCTGCTGTAGCTGTAAATGAAAGTTTACTTGACCTTGGTTATTTCCTAGACCAAGGAATTTATCACCCTTTTTTTTTTTTTTGTCTAAATAGGAACACTGTAACACTTATACAAGCTTCTGTTAAAACAGTCTCTTAATTGTGTATGTTGCACCAGCCACCATAGTGACAAAAAAAAGTCCTTCTGCAGCAAGTACCTTGTCCAAGGCAGGACAGAGTAAATGGCATCATAAAGTCCTGCTGGGTTTTGGATATTTGGGTGCAGGTATAACCTGTCTTGCTGGACTATTGTAAACCCACATTTCTTGGAGGTGGATTTGAAGTGCTGCTTCTCCAGGTTTCCTGGCAAGGGCATTCCCCTGGCACGTGGTCCCTGGCTCTGCCTCGGTGGCTGATGGCTGGCTGTTTGTCAGCCTGGGTTCCAGCCTGGCCCTCTGTTCCCAGGAGGGGCACGTGCATCACATGAGCACTACTCCTGCCACCAAGCCAATGCTGTCGGGTTTTTTTGATTGTAGGTTTTTTTTTTTTTTCTTTAGTCTACTCCCATGAAAACTTTCAAGGAGATGAGAGGAAAGAAGACATTTAGGAAGTGCCCTCCTGCACATCCCTTCTTCCCTTTGCCACTGTTTGGTCCCTCCTTTTGCCTTTCCACACACTGAATTCTCTGGTGATGCACATGCATAAACATACTGCCATGACAGCTTTAGTTTCTGGCTAGAGAACTAGTGTTTATCTTAAGACTAAAATGAAGTAGGAGTTGTAGGTGTTACTTGCATGAATAGGTTGAAGGAAGATGATAATGGTACCCTGTTTGAGACTGGAGAAGGAACTGTGTGGGAAGCTGTGTAAAATGGGGAAAAGCATCTCGTCACACTCTAGATAACCCAATTAGCACTGGTTTAAGGCAGAACAGGTACGTCGATTCATCATGAGCAGAAACACGATGCTTATTTGGAGTGAACAGCTATGATGAAAATCTTTATTATAAATTTCAATGCTGTTAGTTCACTGTCTTCTCCCCTTATTCATGCTATTGGCAGTGGCTCAATTATCCATAGAAAAACTAGATCTCTTAAACATAAACTTCTAGAGGAGATGACTTGTCTTCAGACAAAATTAACCTGTGTAACCTGAGGAGAGTCAGAGGCACACTTAGGGAGCAAGGAAGTCTTAATTTTCTGGATTTCTTAAATCTGGTCCGAAGGGAGGCATTGTGATAGTGTTTCCTTTCAGGAAACAGTTGAATTAATTGCTTTTTGTTCTAGGATTTTCATTTCACAGGATGCTGTTTTAATGGCTGATGCACTCTTTACCTCTCTCTTGGCAGAGATGCTAATTATTTGTCTGTAGAATCATTTTGCATTTTCAGCCCAAAAATATATGAACATGCTGCTTTTGGAAATACAGTGCTGAGCATCCTGTGCTTGACTGTTGGTCCCCTGCCTTGTCCGGTGGACAGTTTCAGACCATGCTGCTTCCTTCCTGTCTCATAGCCAATTTGTCATCAGAGATTCAGGAGACCTGGAGCCTGTTCTTGGCTCTGCCCCATCACATGAAATGGGACTTGCAGCAATTCATACATCTGCTGTCTCCCCTTTCCATCTGCATCTTAATCTAGAGAGACAGGATCTGCCTCTTAGCATGTAAAATTTATACTAATGCTGTTGGCCCAAACCCCTCTGCCCTACTGCACGTTGCTGTAATTCAGGAAACCTGTAAAATAATTTTACGTTAAGGCACGCGTCTGGTGGCTCTTAGAAAGAAATTGTAGGTGCTTTTTGCTCTGGTATGACACTTTGAAGACTGTGTAAGTGGAGGCAAATTAAGAAACCCTGATGTCCTAAAGATTTTAATGAGTGTGGGACGCAGTTTCCATGTGGAGCACAGTTGGTCTGTGCCTGGGCTTGGGGGTGTGGAGGCCCCAGCAACACTGTTTACATCGCACCCAAGAGCCAAGATATCTCGTACAGCAAGTGGCAGTGCAAAGAGGTCCCCCTCTGCATCTGGCACAGCTGCCTTGCAGCTTCACCCCAAAATGCATGATTTTGGTTTGAGGGTGGAAAAGTCAGAAATTTAAAACAAACAAACAAAAAAAACCCAAGAAGCAACTCCAGGAGCATGGGGGAAGGGAGGAGAACAGTTACCTTGTGCCTTTTTTAACCCCTGTTTTTGTGGGAGCCTACTCTCATTCATAAATGGCTCTGACAGCCAAAAGCCCTTGGTATGAAGAAAAACCAAACTGGAGAGGTTGGCTGCAAGGGCTCCAAAAAGGTGCCGAAGGACGATGGAGAGCGGGAAGCCAGAGTGTGCCTGTCCCTGTCCCACACGGGCGCTCTGCGGCAGGGAATGCGGAACTGCGGAGCTGGTGGGGGACAGGAGGGGGGTGGCTGTGTTTGAGCAAGGATCTGGAGCTATAACTTTTTTTTTCTTCTGTTTCAAGTAAACACACTTCCCCGCCCTCCCCTCTCTCCCGCCACCCCACCTCCCTCTCTTTCAATCCCGCTCATGTGTTTCTATTTAAGGGCTGCAGTGCAGACGAATATGATTGGCATCTACAGCCCCCTCTTGACTTTCAGCTCAAGCCTTTAGAGTGGAGAAGGAGCTGAGCCGCCAAGGGGAGAGCTGTTTTTTCTTTGGGTTTACTAGGGGATGGCTCAGCTGTGGATTTATGCTGCTTCAGCCCAGGATTTTTCTCTCTGAATGGGAACAAGGATTGTGGAAACCATGTTGGGAAGAGGTTTATTTTCAGAATCCATCATGAAGCTTCGCAACTAATTCACTGTTTTCGACTCCTTTTTTGTATTTTTTTTTCTCCCCTTTTTTCTTCTTCTTCTCTCCAATGTTCCTCTGTGCTGCTGGGTTGTGGGCCAGAGGAGGCTGTTTCTATATGGCCAGCCATTTGGGGATATGCTGCGAGCCAAGGTTGTTTGCTGATTCGCTTGGCTCTGGTGACAAGTTGGCCTGTTGTGAATCAAATGGACGGAGGTCGCTGTCGAGGAGCCATGGCTGGAAGCTGGCTTACGGCTTGCTTTTTCCCTTCTCCAGGTGCTGATGCTAGCTCTGAACCCATGATCCTGGAGCAATATGTGGTGGTATCCAACTATGAGAAGCAGGAGAACTCTGAGATCAGCCTCCAGGCTGGAGAGGTTGTGGATGTCATAGAGAAAAACGAAAGCGGTAAGATGCATTTGCTGCTTTTTCCCTCTTCCAGTGGTCTGATTTTTGCATGTATTCCTCTTCTTTCGGTTTCCTCATCACTACTTGTAGCTGTACGTTAGCTCCATCTGGTACGCTTACTATGTCTGGCTGAGGATGTTGAAGTTTCTCAATGTTGATTTGGGCTGGGGGCCAAATGTTGCCTTCTCCTGTAAGAATGTTTCATAGATTTTGTGCATTAATTAGCCAAAGTACACTAATGGAAAATGAAGGTGAAGGAGAACGATCTGCAGCTAATGAAGCTGATGTATAGTAGTAGACTGATACCGTTGCCTTGCTGTCCCTTCAAGTTTCTGTCAGCATTTCCATTACTAACTCCCTTTTCAGAGGATTTATAGGATGAGCTTTTAAAAATTGCTTGGGATGAAACTTAGCTTGACAGCTTAGCCTGTAGCCCAGAGCTTGGTAGGGAGGGGAGAGAATGTGCGTAGATAAATACGTGGCCATGCACAGTTTCAAAAATTCTTGTAGAAGTGTTAATTGGGGAATTCTGAGGCAAAGAGGCAGAGCCTGTCATGTAAAAGTAAGATGAAATCCCTGCCTCTACCGTCCCTGGAATAACCAGCTTCTACTTGGAAAATGAGATTTTTGGCAAGTGTTTGTATAGATGCGTTTCATGTACTTTAACTCTTGAACGTCTGGTAGCGTTGAGTCAGGCTGAACAAACACAAGAGACTGTGTACATGTGAGTGGTTGGAGTGGATTAGCAGCTGGTTTGAATAACTGCCTGTCTTCAGCCATTCCCCCTCCTCCCCTCTAGTGCTCCTTGTGTGTTAATCCAGAGCTGTTGTCCAGGACTGGTTTCCAGCCCGCTCATGAGTTGTGTATCCTCATCCAGAGGAGCTGCTGGCATTTGGAGCTATTCAAGCAAATGCTGATGTCGTGGTAGCTCCACGCACAGGGATCTCATGGCTGGCTGGCTCTGGAGCATGCTGGGGGCATGCCAGAGCTTGGGGGAACCCAAACACCCTGATCTGGAACTCAAAACCATCTTCCAGAGCTCTGAGTCAGGTTATCCACAATGATGACCATGCCTTGTGTGTTGTTGGGTTTTTTTTTCTTTTTTTCCTGGACTGGTTATTTCTCTGCTGTATGAAAGCCTAATGCTTGTTTGGCTCGAAGTGATCTAGTCAGTTGCTCTCCAGTGATTTAGTGTGATGTCCAAAAGGGCAGTGTGTGGAAATGAACTGGCTAGTGTGAACAGAAATGCCTGTCTCCTGGGTACTGATTTTTATCTCTTGCAAAGCTAGTAGAGGCCAAAATGCTCATCGGCCCCACTTTAAAGCAATAGTTATGATTGAAAGGGGGGGGAAAATGTCGTAACTTCTTAAACTGTGTCTAAGCTAGTGGACAAGCATCTTCCCTTCCAAGCCTGAGGGCTCCTCACTGTCAATATGGGTGTTACTGCTGCTGGAACAAGCCTCACTATTGTGGCAACTTATATTCATATCCATGATATCCCTGTCTTGGAAAATGGCTTATGGAGCCAAGGGAATTGGGCTGTTAAATAATGCAAGAAGTGTCTGAATTCCAAATTACAATTCCTTTGTGTTTTCTTTTAATGTAGGCTCTCTGCCTTGCACAGTTCACATCGTATGGTGTTGAACCACATGGTATGTGGAGATATAAATGGAGAGTGTCAGGGTTTGAATTTAATTAGTGGGTCCAGAAATGTGACTCTACTAAGGAAACATCCTTGAACTTGGATTACAGTTCTTAAGACTGTATTCTGATGTTTAGCAGCCAGATTTCTTACTATTCATGTAAACAAGAGAGGAAATATGAAGCCCTGAACTCCATGCTATGATCTTGTCCTTTATATCTATAGGGATAGATATAATACTGATACATTTAAAAAAAAAAAAAAAAAGTCATAGACTGCTGATGGAGAGAGTCATTTGCTTTGGATGATTGTCTAAACTGTTGTGGCAGGGAGTTCGTGTTTTAGTTGTTCCAAGAACAAGACTCCAAACGTATACTCTCATTCTTTCCTAGGTTAGGGATACCACAGGAATGATTTCAATACTATGACTTCTTGTCTCTTCAGCTAAAGCTGAGCCTGTAAGTGGTATGTAATGAAACTAGCAAAAGTTTCTCGAGTGTGAACTTTTGAAAGCTCTTCAGTTTTTGTTTGAATTGGGTATCTGTTTAGTGTAGGCAGGTATGCCTAGAAGATGTGGTTATGACTTCTAAGAACATGAGGATACACTTCTTAAGAAAATACAGTTATTGGACTATGCACATGTGTAGTAATTCATCTGGCTGCATGGTTATGTTGGCTTAAGTGTTGTGGAACTATAGGTGTGATTGTGTAAGTCAGACATGTTCTTCTGATCCAGACAGTTAAAGGTGATGTAAGGTGTTACGATGTCACCTGCAACAGGGACAGTTTCTTCAATGAAAGGAAGGAAGGATGGCTAGATAGCTTGTCAGCTGTGTGGTCCCATCAGACTGGACAGTGTGCATTGGGTGTGCTGCTGGGACGGTATCTCAAATCTTGTGTCTATGCGTGCATATAGCATATAATACGTCTGGCTCTGGGTTTTTAAGTGTACTTTCAGGAAGCTAGATATGTATGAATGTATATACTGGATAGTGTATAGGACTGCTTTATTTTAAAAGCCTTGCCTAAATAGGGTTGCATGCTGATGCCTAGGGACACTTAAATGGGTTTTTTGGTTCCCCAGAGTGGGAGAAACCTAAACTTGGCTCTGTTTCATGGCTTTGTAGGGAATAAACACCTTCACTTTACTGGTCAGATGGCCCCGTACTTTTTTATACAGGGAGGGTCCAAAGTTGTTTCAGAATGGTGGTGCCTGTTTCATGTCCCGCTGGATGTTTTCTTCTGAACACTTCTAAGACCTGAGCTAGAGTTACTATCTCCTCTGACGTTTGCCTCCAAATTGTGTACCTCCCTGGAAGTAAGTAGGCTCTGCTTTCAAAAGTCAATGTATAGGGCAGAGGTAGAAGAAAAAAAGAAATCTAGCATTTGATTTATTGAAGTCTTACCAGGTTATCACCAAGCCATGTTAACTTCGTCTTAAGTAACCGTGTGTTGCAGTTACTATATAGTATTATTCAGTGTTATTTTTCCCATATCAGAGATGGGTTTTAAGGCATCTCGCAGTCAGACACAAGCAAACCCATTTGGTAGGGTCTTGCCTCATACTTAGTTTTCTCTTTGAAAGAGAGTTTGATGAGGTTTTCTTCATTATTGGGCCAATGAAAGTTATGACTTGGACATCACTTCAAGTTGCAACTTCTGTTTAGTATTATGACTTAAAAGCAAGGGCAGTGTAGCATATGTGTTGAATGATTTCTAAAGCCTTTCATCTTGGCTATGAAGCCCATGGGTCACTGTAACCTGACTGTTGCTGCAATTGCCACAGAAGCAAATCTTGCTAGTCTGAAAGAAATCTGTAAGACTTCTATACTTCAGAACAAATTATGTAGTAATGATACCATCTCTCAGGCCTTGACACTTGGTTTTTGCAGCAAATACCTTTACTGATGCAACAAAGTTGTCCTTCACACCTTCTAAATTCTGGTTACACGAGCAGAAGACCCACAGCGTGCCTGACGTATCTGGATTTTTTTTTTTTTTTTTTTTTTTTTTTAACCTCAGCTGAGGAGAAAAACCTGCATGTAACAATGGTCACAAATGCATCAGGAAAAAAAGAGGTTTACAGTCTCTCCAGATGGTGTTTGGGAACAGGCTGCAGTTAAGAGGGTTGTGTTCCCTGTTGGAAATGACTATGAATTGTTTAAATGCACTATGTCACCAACCTGCACCATCCAACACTATCTAAACATCTATGAGCTGTTTCAGAATAACAGTGAGAATAGTTGACTCAAGTCTTGTCTGTCAAGTACATAGTTTTCTTTTAAATCTTAACCAAAAAAGTCTTGTGGAATGACTTTAAAATGTTATTTCTGCTGCAGAAATGAAATGTTAAAGCAGGAATCCGACAGAGATTTCTTTAAGGTGGGAGGGGGAGGGACTGGGCCGGAGCAGCTCCCTTCTCTGCCAAGTTTTGCGTGGATGTGGCTTGAAACGGTCAAACTATAAACTGTGGCAGCAGTGTTTGCAATGGAAAACCTGACAGATGGTGAAGTATGAGTGTACTCCCGAGCACCTCTGCCTCTGCTGCTGCTCTCCTTGCAGGCAGGATGGGGGCTCTTCCTTCGCAGTCCCTGGGAGCTGTGTCTGTGGTGGAGGCATCGTGGGATGGTGTTTTCAGCCGGGCTGAGCAGGACCATAGCCATGTCCTTTGCAGTTTCATAACTGCAGACCCATTTCCAATATTATATTACACACAATATGTAAAACAAAGCTATTATGGCTAGCATAACTGTGTTGGGACCCAAAGGAATCTCTGGAAAGGGAGGCTGCTCTTCTCCGCTTGCCTGGGATGTGGGACATGGCACTGAAGTATCACCATAGGAAGGTCTCTGCTTTGTCTCAGGGCCCTGGCTTAGGGGTCTTGGGACTTGCTGGTTGCCTACACAGTGTTGGGAGATTAGTGTGGGCCTGTCGATGTGCTTTGCATCACCATTTGTTTTCACTTGTGCTGCTCACCGGCTGCAGTCCTGATTTAAGAGAGCGACATAAGGAAGGTACAGCTCTCCAGTGACTGACTCCTGGGATACACTGGCTTCCCTATTGCAAACTCCATCTTCTTAGGCTGAGGGCGTTTTGAGTCTGACTTCTGCCTCTTCATGAGAAACACAGTATGCTTTATCTGAAGGTGTTGCTTTCTGGGGTTAAGTAACTGCTTTTACTTAAAACCAAATCAAACCAAGTTTACTTTCTTGATTAATTACTGCATCTTGACTAAAGGGGCACCATTAAAGTGATCCAGATGGAAACAGAAGTTGGTTTTCTTGCATTTCATGGATCACCTTTCATCCCTATTTTTTTTTTTTTGGTCCCTTTTCTTTAGTGTGGTGAGGGTTTTTGT